CCGCCTCGAATCGCACGAGCCAATCCGTCATGCGTTCTCCACGGCGGCGATGATGCTGAGTCGACTCGAAGAACCTTTCAAGCGTCTCTCCCTTCTGCACCGGCTTCTGCTGGCCTAGGTTTGCTTCGAGGTGCATCAGTACGTTCTCGATGCCCTTCTGGTTGCGATCGCGCTTCTTCTCGTTCGCGTCCTCGATGCCGTCGTCCGGCGGCGGATGGAGCTCCTGCTCCGTCATGTTAAGAGCGGCCGACCTGGCTGTACCCGTCAGACGCAGGACTAACTTCGATGCCAAGCTTTGTGTCACTTCCAAATTCTCACTGAGCTTCCACAATTTGACCTCCTGTTTGTAATCTCGCCATTTCGCTGGATCTCCATTCCAGCTTGGTATCACTGACTGGTTGTGTGTGAACTCCGTCATCTTGACACCTTCGTAGGTGAAGTATGTGGCGTCGCTGACACCGTCGTAGTAGAAGTATATGGCGTCGCTGACACCGTCGTAGAGGAAGTATATGGCGTCGCTGACACCGTCGTAGAGGAAATATGCCGCGTCGCTGACACAGGCGTAGGAGAAGTAGCTGTCGTCGCTGCTGAGGGTGGGAAAGAAGATGGAGTCGCTGGCGTCGCTGACGCTGGCGTTGGAGCTGGCAGGGATGTAGGCGTAGTAGGCGTAGTCGCTGGCGTCGCTGACGCTGGCGTTGGTGCTGGCGTCGCTGACGCTGGCGTAGGTGCTGGCGTCGCTGACGCTGGCGTAGGCTGGCGTCGCTGACGCTGGCGTAGATGCTGGCGTCGCTGACGCTGGCGTAGATGCTGGCGTCGCTGACGCTGGCGTAGATGCTGGCGTCGCTGACGCTGGCGTAGATGCTGGCGCTGAGCAACAGCGCGAGGAGACCGCTGGGTCTCGATTCCAGTATGGAGCGCGACGTCGCAGACGTCGTCTTGGGTATGCGGCCCCGCGGGCCGGGATAGCGAGCCTCGCTCCAAGCTACCACTGTGATATGGATGGCGCGCGCGGCGCGACGATCTTTAGTCGAAAGAGAGCGCTGCTCAATCTATCTGCGTAGCTCTAAGGCCAAGGGCCCTAGTTCGAAACAAAACGGCAGCGGCACGAGCGGGCGTGAGGGATAGAGCGGGGATGCAGGAAAGGCACGGGGAGTGAGCGGGAATCACAAATCTGAGCCTTCGGGTTGGGTTGGGGTGGTTTGGTGGGTGGTGAGGTCAGAGCATCCCTGGCTCTGCAGGATCCAGCAAGATCTGGCGCTCTGGCTGACCCCCGTTAGCGTTGACCCCCGCCTCCTACAGCTCGAAGCGTGCTGCCGAGGAGGGTGCCAGTGCTAGGGAACCGACCTCTATATACACCGACGCTCTTTGTGGCCCTACACCCTGCGAAATGCTTTAGAAATCATGGGTTAAGAAATTCATAGTCTCAGAACTTGAACAAAAACCCAAGATTTCTATCAAAATCTTAGGATTTACATTGAAACATTAAGAATAATCGAGACTCTGGCCGAAAACTTAGGTTTTCTTAAGCATCGCCTAAGGTGTACACTGAAATTTGCTCAGGAAAGCGGATCCTGGGACCCTGGTGTATACATGTTGCGTTGTTTCCCCGGGGGAGCGGGAAAATAAGTATACACCACACCACCCCGACGTCGCCCCCGACCCCCAGAGAGTCCTGGGATTGAAAAACAGCCCAACACTGGTCATGTACATGTTCCAGTCTTCGATGTGCGGCTGCGCGCGCGGGGGGGGGAAAGCTCTTCCTGCTCTGCCTCGTTGGGCTGGTGCCTGGCTGCGGCGCGGCAAGGGCGCCGGGCGGGCCCACGCCGGGCGGCGCCGCTGTCCAGGACCCTCGGGACGCGTGCTGGCGCCGGCGTGTGCGGCGCAGCGAGGGCCGACGCGTTGGCGTCGGCGGCTGGGCAGAGTGACTGCGCTGGCGGCCGGAGCAATAACGCAGGGCATCTGCAGATGCTCATGGAGCCGCGACGCACGTGAGCGCAGGCCAGCACACAGGCTGCGCGCCATCGGCGGAGCCGGACGTGAGAAGCAAGAGATCTGCCCCTGACCAGTTGGGAGGGGACCGCCTGTTTTTCCTGTCCCTGATGCGAAGGCCCAGACATCCGGCTGCTCCAATTTTTTGGTGCGTGGACCCAGGAGGTCCGGACCACTTCCCCGGGACCGGTGTTTCGTCCTGAGTCGTTGTTTGACGCTCTCGAGGCCCGGCGAGGGCCCCCGGAGGCCAAAAACGGCCAAAATCCCGCCGCTCCAATTTTTTTGGAGCGTCGGATCTCAGGGGACGAGGGCCTCAGTTTCCTCCCCAGGGACCCCAAACTGCGTCAGAGGGCCTCTCGATGGCCCAGTGCGGCCCCACGAGAGGCGCACGAGACCCCCCCACGGGGCCAAGAGGGCCCCAGGACGGCCCCTGCCCGTCGCTCGGACGTCCATCCCCTGTGATTTGTTCGGTTTCGTGCGTGTTTTTTTCGCAGGATGATCCAGGATGCTCCTTAACCATCCCCGCCGAGAAAAAGTGCACACGTCCGAGCGAGGCGAAGGCCCAGAGCGGTGAAGGGGGGGGGGGAGACGGCAGGAGGAGGGAGGCTGGAAGAGGGAGGAGGAAAACGACTACGGCGATGATGACGACAAAGATGGAGGCCTCCTGTGGGGTCCTAGATTGACTACCTACCAGACCACCCCAACGCAACCCGAAGACCCGGATTTCGGGTTGGGGGGGGTATGGGTTCCATACGTGCTTTTTCGATGTTCCCCGACCCCCCCCAACTGGAAATGGAGGGCAAATTGAGGCCTTCGGGTTGGGTTGGGGTGGTTTGGTGGGTGGTGATAGATGGGGTCGGAGGATCGCGCCGCATCAGCGCCGCATCGGCGATGCAGCAGCGATGCATCTTCGACGTCGGCGTGACGCAAATCGGGCGTCACGTCGAGCCGCAGCGGCGATGCATGCGCGGCCCTCCGCCCCCAGCTGCCCCCCAGCCCCACCCGGGGAGGCCTGGAGACGAGGGGAAGAGGAAGACGAGTGGATGAAGGGGCCCCAGGACACAAATAGAGACACACAATTCAAAAGATTCCCCCTATTTTCCTGTATATTTTCTGGGTCTATGTCTTCCCCCCACTGCCCATATTTTCCCACATCTTCTGGGGAATCGACGATTGATTGTGTCTGTGTGTTTCTTTCCCTCCCGAGTGGAGACGAGACGACGAGACGAAGCGCGGCACCCGAAGCCGTTTCTGACAACGGAGGCGCTCGGCCGTCGCGCCCGCGCGCGGCCCGCCGCGGCCGACGCCGCCCGGCCAGCGCGGATGCCGCCTCCAGAGCGATGAGCCCCGCATGCCCCCTCCCTCGCCCTCCTGCCCCCTTTCTCTCGGGGAGACGTAAGACCCGGGTACGGGGGACTCGGAAATCCCCGACGAGGTCGTCAAAAAAATGACGAGGCCGAGCCTGCATTTTGACGAGGCCTCCCGCTGCAGACATCCCACGAAACTCCTCCTCGTCAAAATCCGAGTCGCGGTCGTCAAAAAACGATGGCGAACCCGAGTCCTGGCAAACCCGGGTCTTACGCTCCCCCGATTCTTCGAATGCACGCAAGAGTGACCCTAGGCAAGGTCGACCTCCAGTGCGCGGCCACTGGCCATCGCTCGGACGGCCCTTCCCTGTGCTCTTTTCGGCTTCGTGCGCGGTTTTTTCGCCGAATGATCAAGGATGCTCCTCGATGGTCCTCGTCCGAGCGATGCCAAGCGCATGCCCCCTCCCTCCGCCCTCCTGCCCCCCTTCTTCGGCTGCACGCAAGAGTGACCCCAGGCAGGGTCGACCTTCAGTGCGCGGCCATGGGGGGGGGGCCCTTTGGGGACACCACCGGGCGCGCAAGCCGCTGCTGCCGCATCGCATTCAGCGTTCGGGGGGCCCCATTGGGCCCACACCGAAAGTCACTCCGACGAAAGGTCACTCTTACGTGTACACCACGCGAAATGGTTAAGAAATCATGGGTTAAGAAATTCATGGTCTCAGAACTTGAATAAAAACCCAACATTTCTATCAAAATCTTAGGATTCACATTGAAACGTTAAGAATAATCGAGACTCTGGCCGAAAACTTAGGTTTTCTTAAGCATCGCCTTAGGTGTAGTCGACTCCTCATCCTCATCCCCACTCCATCCTCCCCCTTCCGGTCCTCTTCCTCACCGTCGACCTCCTGCCCCTCCCCCGTCCCCATCCATCTCCCCCTCCTCCCTCCACGCCCCCTCCCCTCTCCCCTCAATCTCCTCCTCGACATCCCCCGCCTCGTTCCTTCGCTTCCACCTCCTCCTGCTCCTCCCTCCTCCTCCTCCTCCTCCGAGGGGGCTCACCATCCCAGACTCCCCCCCTGGGGAAATGAAAAGGCACTGATACAGCTACTCCCCAGGCCTCTCCCAAGGTGCATTCTGACCAGTATTTCGAGGCAAGACAGCCGTGGTGAAGAGTGCCTCCCAAGAGGTCCAGCAAGGGGAACTGAAAACAGGGCAAGGGTAGCGGTATGGGTACCTCTTCGTCCTCTGACTCCCGCCTCTATCGTTGCTCCTGGTCCCCCTCCCCTATCGTTGCTCTCTTTGACCATATCATTGCCCCTATCGCTGCACTGATGCTGATTCCCCCTGTGACTCACCCCCACATCCCCCCGCGGGCGACGTCGGCCATGTATCAGCCGCGTCGGCGGGGGGAAGTTCGGGCTCAACATCGAGCCGCATCGCCGATTCATCGGCGATACGGCGCGATCCTCCGACCCCATCTACTCCGACCCCATCTGAGAGGCCTAGATCCCCCCTTCCTCCACCGAAGGGGCTCAAACCTCGAACCTCAGACCCGATGCCGATCCCCCCTATCGTGGCCCCTGATCCCCTCTCCCCATATCGTTGCCCCTATCGTTACCCCCCCTATCGCTGCTCCCTGTCGTTGCCCCTCATCCTCCGTCCCCTGTCGTTGCCCCAATCGGTGCCCCCTGACGTTGCCTCTGCTGTTGCCCCTAAGCCCCCTCCCCCCGCGGGCGGCTCACTTCCGCGTGGCCGCCGCGGCCGTCCGGGCCCTCTGGGCCAGCCCCTTGCCGCGCGCCTTCCCGCCCGGGCCGTAGACGCCACGGCCGGCGCCGCGGCCCTTGGATGGGGGGCCGGGGAAGGGAGGGGGAGAGAGGAGGAAAGGCGAGGGGGGGAGGGAGGAGGAGGAAGGGGAGGGGGGAGGAGGGAGGAGGAGGAAGCGGACGAGGAGGAGGAAGGGGCGGAGGAGGAACAGGTGAAAGCCACGACGCTGCAGGATGGACGCTAGAGCAGCCACGACGCTCAAATTCGCCCATCGTAAAAAGGAGGCGGGGGATTTGATTTGCCTCTTGCGCCGATCTTGCCTTCCGATATGAACACCAGCTAATCGTAATCCCACCAGCCGTCTGGGCGTAGGGGGCTCAACGGACGCTGTCTTTCCTCAGCCAAAACCCCTCCTTCCCATGCTCGGGGAGGGGTTGACCCCTCCCCCAATTCGAAGGGGGCTGGGAGGCCCGACCAGAAGCTTCGCCTTAGGCGAAGCGCAGCTCCAGCTCTGTTGTACCGTAATAGCGATAGTCCCAATCGGAGGCGGTCGTCGCGGGAGCGACGGGCCATCTCAAGCGAAGATATTTTCGGTCCCGATGGGAAATACTTTGCCTCGCAGTGAGGCGCAATCATATGTTGACAGCCGGCCGCTTGAGCCCAAGCGGCCACGGACAAACGTTCGCTCTTTCGCCCTTGTCCCAGCTCACTTTAGAGTCGGGGGGGGAGACGAAGCGTGAGTCCGCCGCCTCTTTTACAGTAAACGCTATCTAAACAAAAGGCAGCAAAAGGCGGGTCCGTAAGGAAAGTGAACCCGCAAGCAAGTTGTCTTGCGAGCACATCGCTGTGCAAACGATTACTCCTCAGGCGGCCTCAGACGATGCTGTCTGGCCAGCCCGGTAAGGATTATGACATTTAATTCATGTTTGAAGGATCGCGTGCCTCCCATGACCTGTAGGAGCATACACATATATATATATATATATATATATATATATATACACTAGAACCACGCGCGCGCTTCGCGCGCGCTTAGGTTCTGTCGAGTCACAGACCCAGGAATCGCTGTGAGAAGAAATTGGTGACGCGAAGCGTCGTGGGGGCGTCCTTGGACGTCTGGGGTCTCCTGGGGCCTCTTGAGGGGCCTCCTGGGGGCCTCCTGGCGGCCTCTTGGGGCGGAAGGCTCGAGCTTGCGGTTCGTGGTCCCCCTCTGGGCCCCCTCTTGGGCCCGTCTTGGGGCCCTCTTGGGCCATCTTGGGCGCGGAAAGCCCAAAAGACAACTTTGTTGAACATTTACGTTTTACGAAGGGAATGGGCCAACTTTTGCGTCTGGGGGCCCTCTTGGGACGCATGTTGGAGGCTTCTTGGGGCGTCTTGGGGGCGTCCTTGGACGTCTGGGGTCTCCTGGGGCCTCTTGAGGGGCCTCCTGGGGGCCTCCTGGCGGCCTCTTGGGGCGGAAGGCTCGAGCTTGCGGTTCGTGGTCCCCCTCTGGGCCCCCTCTTGGGCCCGTCTTGGGGCCCTCTTGGGCCATTTTGGGCGCCTCTTGGGCCGTCTTGGGGCCCTCTTGGGTTGTCCTGGGGCCCTCTTGGAAGCTCCTTGGGCCGTCTTGGGGCGGTCTTGGGCGCCTCTTGGGCCGTCCTGCAACGTCGGAAAGCCCAAAAGACAATTCTGTTGAAAATGTACGTTTTACGAAAGGATGGGCCAACTTTTGCGTCTAGGGGCCCTCTTGGGCCGCATGTTGGAGGCTTCTTGGGGCCTCTCGGGGGCGTCCTTGGACGTCTGGGGTCTCCTGGGGCCTCTTGAGGGGCCTCCTGGGGGCCTCCTGGCGGCCTCTTGGGGCGGAAGGCTCGAGCTTGCGGTTCGTGGTCCCCCTCTGGGCCCCCTCTTGGGCCCGTCTTGGGGCCCTCTTGGGCCATCTTGGGCGCCTCTTGGGCCGTCTTGGGGCCCTCTTGGGCTGTCCTGGGGCCCTCTTGGAAGCTTCTTGGGCCGTCTTGGGGCGGTCTTGGGCGCCTCTTGGGCCGTCCTGTAACGTCGGAAAGCCCAAAAGGCGAAAATGTACGTTTTACGAAGGGAATGGGCCAATTCTTGCGTCTAGGGGCCCTCTTGGGACGCATGTTGGAGGCTTCTTGGGGCCTCTTGGGGGCGTCCTTGGACGTCTGGGGTCTCCTGGGGCCTCTTGAGGGGCCTCCTGGGGGCCTCCTGGCGGCCTCTTGGGGCGGAAGGCTCGAGCTTGCGGTTCGTGGTCCCCCTCTGGGCCCCCTCTTGGGCCCGTCTTGGGGCCCTCTTGGGCCATCTTGGGCGCCTCTTGGGCCGTCTTGGGGCCCTCTTGGGCTGTCCTGGGGCCCTCTTGGAAGCTTCTTGGGCCGTCTTGGGGCGGTCTTGGGCGCCTCTTGGGCCGTCCTGTAACGTCGGAAAGCCCAAAAGACAACTTTGTTGAAAATGTACGTTTTACGAAGGGAATGGGCCAATTTTTGCGTCTAGGGGCCCTCTTGGGACGCATGTTGGAGGCTTCTTGGGGCCTCTTGGGGGCGTCCTTGGACGTCTGGAGGCCATCTTCAGCATCTCGGAGCCCTCTTGGAGGCCTCTTGGAAGTTTCTTGGGCCGTCTTGGGCGCTTCTTGGGCCGTCTTGTCTGACTGGGGAGGCCTCCGGCAAGCCCCGACGAGCCTCCGGGCCCCCTGGGGTGCACATTTGTGGTCAAGGTCCCGGCCCCGGGCCCCCGGACCCGGTGCGCCGTTATATGTATATATACATACATACATACATACATACATACATACATACATGCATATATGTCAACGTTCCCCTTTGTGTGACCGTCCGCGGTCATGTCGCGAGTGTCACACCTGGATACTATGCACGATTACTCGATTCATCATCTGTCGTATCCAACTGATGTGTTCCAAAAAAGTATACTCCGTCGGCTTCTTCGACTCCTTGCTTGACAAGGACTTGAAGACATATTCATCATCTATGGTCAAACGGCCCTTAATGCTTAGGCCACCCATCTCCATAATATCCTTCAACTGAGTGGATGTCAGTGGCCCTGCGTGGAGTTCGTACAGAGTCACGATCGTGGGATAGCAGTCCTTCTGCTAGTGCTTCTAGTGCTTCTGCTGGATAGCTTGAGCGGGCCAGCAAACGATGAGATTTGCAGTGCGCATCGATCAAATGGACGACAGGAGTACCAGTTGGCGCGCTTCCACGCCATAGCAGGTTTGCCCCACGAGTACCATAGCCTTTGACCTTGCCGTCGGCATCTACGAGCGGAACTAACTGCCGGCGCGCGCGCAGGCACCAGCAGAACCGATCGCCGGGGGAAGCTGCTGCGCCGAGGGCAGTTGCTGCAACCGCCGAGAGAAGCGAGGCAGCGCCGAGGGCGGGGACTGCAAGCTGCTGGGGTTGCGAGGAGGCTGCAAGCGAGCGGCTACCCCTGGGGGCGCGACCACCAGGTACGTGAATTGGACCTTGTCGCCACCAGGCGCCAGAGGTCGGCGCGCCACAGACATGGCGAAGCGAAGGGCTACGTGACAGTCCAGCGCGTGGGCAGCAGACCGACGGAAGAAACGCACGGTCGTTCAAGAAGGTTGAACCACTCCCGAGTGAACCGGCGGTCCAGAATCCCATAGGGCCAGCAGCACCGACAGACACGGCCAAGTGTGGCGGTGACTGGTGACCAGATGCCAAGGGAGCGCAAGCTCTCGTGCCGGAACTGGTCAGGGCGCACGTCCCCTGAGCGCCAGGGGGCCGAGGTGTCACGCCTGCTACATCGCGCTGGGCACGACGCTCTCAGAAGAGAGGAGTCTGGGCAACCAAACAAAAAAAACACCTGAGGCATCCCCGCAATCGGAGCGCGAACGGCGACATGAAACCGCCCCTCGCGGCTCGTCCTTGGGGTGCAAGTGCCACGTTTGCTACATCCAAATGATGGGGCACTGAGCAGAGAGAAGTCTCGTCAACCAAGCAGGCAAACCGCTTGAGGAATCCTCACAGTCTTGGCGCGAACGGAGAACGAAAACAATCCCCAGCGGCTCCTCCTCAGGGTGCCCACATGCTACGCCTGCTGCAACGCGGCAATCATTGGGCCTTCAAAAAAAAAGAGTCTGGGCAGGCAAATCGCTTGAGGAATTCCGACCATTTGGCGCAAACCGCACCATGAAACCACCCATGGCGGCTCCTCCTTGCCCCCATCACTCGCTGACGCGTGGAATCCGTCACCGTGCCTGCACGGAGTCGGCGTGTTAGAATGCTCATTGGGACTCTCGAGGAGTCTCTTTCTAATGTGTTCATAGGACCGATACATCGCAACCGGGGTTCAAAATAAACGCCTTCCCCTGAAAATACCACCACCATCATCATGATCAACAATATCGTCATGATCATGAACATCCCCGTCACCACCCAAAGTATCGCCACAACTGCTCATTACTCATTACTTGTATCACTACAGGTCTCATCATCACCACAAGCATCAGAATCACCACCCCTATCACAATCATAACCATCATGGTCATCATCAGCGTCACCATCACCATCATCGCCACCACCATGAGTATGACCCTGATCATGATCATGATCATCATGATCATCATGATCATCATGATCGTTATCATCAGCAACATCATCATCAGCACCATCATCATCAGCAGCAACACCATCAGTAATTATCAGAGTGAGGGGGCCGAACGATCATTCACTGTCCCTGGGCGCTTGGCTGAAAGTGGGGTTCCAAGGTGCGGATTGCTGCTGCGTTGTTGCTGTTGCTGTTGCTGTTGTTGTCGTCCTTGCCCGCGACGCCCCCGCGACCCACCCGCGACACACCCCGCGACCCACCCCGCGACCCACCCGCGACCCACCCCGCGCCAGCCCCGTCAATCTTATCCGCGACTGCGGGGTGCTACGCAGTCATCATAATCACTACCCTCAACATCATCAGCAGCTTCAACTGCATTACCATCAGCATCATCGTCATCATCATCAGCATCATCATCTGCATCATCATCAGCATCATCAGCATCATAATCGTCATCATCAGCATCAGCATCAGCATCAGCATCAGCATCAGCATCAGCATCAGCATCAGCATCATCAACACCATCATCATCATCATCATCATCATCATCATCATCATCATCGTCATCATCATCATCATCATCATCATCATCATCATCATCATCATCATCATCATCATCATCATCATCATCATCATCATCATCATCATCATCATCATCATCATCATCATCATCATCATCATCATCATCCTTGTCACCACCATCACCACTACCAACATCATCATCATCCTCATCATCCGCATCAGCATCAGCATCATCATCGTCAGCGTCACCATAATCTGCATCATCATTATCACCATCATCACACTCATCATCATCATCATCAGCATCATCATCATCATCATCATCATCATCATCATCATCATCATCATCACCATCGTCGTCATCGCTGTCACCGTCATCACCACCATCCCCACCACCATCATCAGCAGCATCATCAGCAACACCATCTTCATCATCACCACCACCATTATCATCATCATAATCATCATCAGCACCATCATCATCATCATCATCATCATCATCATCATCATCATCATCATCATCATCATCATCATCATCATCATCATCATCATCATCATCATCATCATCTGCGCGTCATCATCAGCAACATCACCATATCGCACGCAAGCGTTGGGCGCGCGAACGCCCGTCAGCCGCGCCATCCTCATCATCAGCATCATCATCATCAGCATCATCATCATCATCATTACCACCACCACCATCATCATGGAAATCAGCATCACCATCAACATCACCTCTTCCACAATCAGCATCATCATCACCATCAGCATCATAATCATAATCGTCATCAGCGTCCTCATCCTCATCCACATCCACATCCTCATCCTCACCATCATCGTCATCATCCTCATATTGCTCCTCCTGCAACTCCTCGTCCTCATGGTACTCCTCCTTGACGCTGCTCTTGCCAGTTCCCTTTCTCCCCTACCCAGTTCCCCTGCCCTTGTCTTTGCTTCTGTGCTCCCTGTCTTCCGCCTTGTCCTTGCCCTTGTCCCTGGATTTGTCCCGTCCTTGTCCTCCTCTTCCTCCACCTCATCCTCTTTTCCCCTCCCTCCCCGGCACCGTCTGTGCCTTTCTTCCAGTCTCCCCCTTCCCATCGATCCTCGTGTCTCTAGGGCGCGCTCAATCTCATGATGATATTGGCTCAGGAATCGTTCCAGGATTTCCAGGATATCTAGTGGCCCTCGTTTCTGCACCCCGCATGTAACATTTAGGGACTCCAGGTAATCTCGGAAACCTTGGAACATATCGTTATCATGTCCCGTTGCTTCCTTGAGTCTCCCCATCAAATTGCAGCGGCCCTGGGGCACACAAATACATACACACAAATAACCGGATTCCCTATGTTGTCCCATATGTTCGGGGTTTTCGTCTTCCCCCCCACTGCCCATGTTTTCCCATATTTTCGGGGGAATCGAGGATGAATTGCGTCTGTGTGTTAATTTCCCTCCTGACAACTGAGCGATCAGAGGCCAAGCGGGGCACGAAGGCCGGCGCATTAATTGCCGGCCACGACCCTCCACGAGCGGCCGACGCGCCCCTCGGCCCCGCGGCGGTCCGCTCGCCCGCCTCGTTCGAGGCGCAGCCCTTGGCTGCCGGAGAGGGACGAGGTACGGGTTCCGCCCCTCTCTCTCTCTCTCTCTCACGTCGCGGGAATGGGCGCTGAACAGGGCGAGGAGGAGGAGGAGGAGGAGGAGGGAGGAGGAGGAGGAGGAGGAGGGAGGAGGAGGAGGAGGAGGAGGGAGGAGGGGAGGGGGAGGGGGAGGGGGAGGAGGAGGGGGAGGAGGAGGAGGAGGAGGAGGAGGAGGAGGAGGAGGAGGAGGAGGAGGAGGAGGAGGTGCGGGTGGCGGAGGTGGAGGTGCTGGCTTCGCCCTTCCCGCGCGTCGGCGGCCTGGGCTCCGAAACCCCCTCCGCCCTCGCGTGGCGGGCGGGCGAGGTGCGAGAGGGGGTGTCGGGCCAGGCGGAAGGGGGGGGGAATAGCAAAGGGGGGGGTTGAGAATCAGCTCACGCAGCTGATCTTCCCGGCGCCGGGAGGCGCCCACGTGTATCGAGGAATGGGCCCGGCGGCGGGGCCGAAACCAGCTGCGCGCAGCAGGTTTCGTAACCACCCCTTTCCCCATCCCCTGAACGAAGGATTGCAACGAAGGATTGCAAAAAAACGAAGGATTGCAAAAAAAGCCTAGGTTTGCAATCCTTTTTGCAATCCTTTTTTGCAATCCTAGGTTTTTTTGCAATCCTTCGTTTTTTTGCAATCCTTCGCTTTTTTTGCAATCCTTCGTTGCGATCCTTCTTTCGTTCGGTCCGAGCTGGCCCCCCGGGGGGGGCGGGAGCACCGGCGGGAGCAGGAAGGGTCCAGCAGTGCCCGCGGCGAGGGAGCGGCGCCCCGTGCCCCCCCCCCCCCCCCCCCCCCGGCCGGGGGAGGCGTGGTCCGAGGGGCGGGGCCGGGCTGGCCGCGGCCCGTGCGAGCGGGCGCGGGGGCCTTCTTCTTGAACATCGGCGCGTGCCGCAGCATGTCTGGGAGGATGAAGTAGCGGATCTGCGAGCCGCGGAGGTACACCTCGCGCGGGGGGCTGGCAGGCCGCCCGCCCCCCTCCTCCTCCGAGGAGCCATCTCCCTCCTGCTCCCCGCGTCCCCTTCCCCCTCCCCCTCCTCCTCCTCCTCCTCCTCCTCCTCCTTCCCCTCATCCTCCTCCCTCCTCCTCCTCCTCCTCCTCCTCCTCCCACCTCCCTCCTCCCCTCCCCCTCCCTCCTCCTCCTCCTCCTCCTCCTCCGCCTCCTCCTCATCCACCTCCTCCTCATCCGCTTTCTCCGAACAGGAAGAGAAGCAGCAGCACCAGTAGGGAGGAACTTTGCGCGAGAGGGGGCATTGTAGGAAGGACCGACGATAGGAGGAGAAATGATACAGTCGGGCTGCTGAAATAAGAAACACTACATCAGGAAGGGAGCCCGCTTTTGGCCCACGAGCGCCGGCGCGAACAAGGAGCGCTAGAGAAATAGCCATGGAAGCAACTAGGGAACATCGAGCCCCTTCCGAACCCAAAGCGTCCCTCATTTCCGCGTCCTGGCTGCAAGCGAGAGGGGGAGGAGGTCGGCAAGGGCCGGAGAGACTGCTGTCTAGGGTGAGTGGCGACGCAAGTGGCACGTCCGTCGTCGCGCCACCCCCCTCTGCCTGAGTTTGCACCCTCGGGCAGGCTTCAGGCATGACACGAGGCTGGCCGAGGGCGGCGAGGACGACCAAGACTCGCCATCGCTCGGACGTCCATTCCCTGTGCATTTGTCGGCTCCGTGCGTGTATTTGTTTCTCAAGGCGAGCAACTCGATGGTCCTGGCCGAGAGGAATCAAAACACACGTCCGAGCGATGCCAAGAGGGCTGCACGCCTGCGGGACTGCGGGGAGCTCTCCCCGGTGCCGTCGGGCCCGCCCAGTCCGCGGGGACGACAGGCGAGAGAGGGGGGGAGGAGACGAGAGAGGAGGAGGAGGAGGAGGAGGAGGAGGAGGAGGAGGAGGAGGAGGAGGAGGAGGAGGAGGGGGGGGAGGAGAGAGGAGGAGGAGGAGGAGGAGGAGGAGGAGGGGAGGAGGAGGAGGAGGAGGAGGAGGAGGAGGAGGAGGAGGAGGAGGAGGAGGGGGGGAGGAGAGGGGGAGGAGGGGGAGGAGGAGGAGAAGAAGGAGGAGGAGGAGGAGGAGGAGGAAAGGAGGAGGAGGAAAGGAGGAGGAGGAGGAGGATCTCGAGCGTCGGGAGTCGAGCGTCGGGGCCCTCCCTGCTCGTTCAATTCTTGCTCCCCGCAGCTCCCCCTCGCCGAGAGCCTCTCCGGGGGTGGCCGAAGTCGACCCCCCCGCGCGCCTTGCTCGCCCCCCCTCGGTGCCATGGGATGGGCGACCGTCGAGCGCCGCGGCAAGCGCGGAGGCGGCCGCCCGCAGCAGGAGCTCGCACAACAGCTCCTCGCGAGCCTCTCCGGCGCTGGAGGCCGCCGCCCGCCGCCCGGAGCGCCGCGCGGAGTGGCGCTGCGCGTGCGGCACGTGCAGCTTCGAGAGCCGCGGGGCGTGCCGCCCGTGTGGCGCCGCCCGCGCTGGGGCGAAGGCGAGCTGCCCGCCTCCGCCGCCGGCTGCGCCTGCGGGCGACGCCGGCGCAGCCTGGCCGGCTCTGCCAGGCGCGCGGGGCCCCCGCCCAGGGGCCCAGGCTGAAGTTTTCCGCCAAGGGGCAACCGGGCGACACACTTCAACCCGCCCGCACAACCGCAACTGCAGCCGCAACCTGGCGACACACTTCAACCCGTCCGCGCAACCGCAACCACAACCGCAACTGGGCGACACACTTCAACCCGCCCGCGCGCGCAACCGCAACCGCAACCGGGCGACACATTTCAACCGCCCGCGCGACCGCAACCGCAACCGCAACCAGGCGACACATTTCACTCGCCCGTGCGCGCAATCGCAACCGCACCTGGGCGACACATTCCAACCCTCTCGCGCGCGCAACCGCAACCGCCGCGCAACCGCAACAACAACCAGGCGACGCAATTCAACCCGCCCGCACAACCGCAACCGCAACCGCAACCGCCGCGCGCGCAACCATAACCGCAACCGGTCGACACATTTCACCTCGGGTACACACACATCATGGGTCCCCGCCCGCGCGCGCCCCCCAACCGTGACCGGGCGACACATTTCAACCCGCCCGCGCAACCGCAACCAGGCGACACATTTCAACCCGCCCGCGCGCGCAACCGCAACCGCAACTGGGCGACACATTTTAACCCGCCCGCGAAACCGCAACCGCAACCGCAACTGGGCGGCACATTTCAACTCGCGGAGACACGAGAGGACGGCGAGGAGGGGGAGGAGGAGAACGAGGGGGAATATGCAGAGGAACAGGAAGTGCAGGATCACGAGGAAGAGGAGGAGGGGGAGGAGGGAGAGGAAGAGGAGGACGAAAGGAGAGCGGGAAGAGAAGGATGGGCAGGATGGCCAGGGGGAGGAGGAGGAGGAGGAGGAGGAGGAGGAGGAGGAGGAGGAGGAGGAGGAGGAGGAGGAGGAGGAGGAGGAGGAGGAGGAGGAGGAGGACGACGACGACGACGACGATGATGAGGGGGATGCGGCGGTGGTCGTGTTCCAGGGGGTTGTAGGAGCAGGCGCCGATGGAGGAGGGGACCCGATGGCTCGGTAGGAACATGGAGGGCCAGGAGGATGCGAAGGAGGAGGGCCTCTCCGCCGGGACATTGCAGCGGGGAATCCCCATTCCACGCTGCTGCCTCTGATTCTCGGTCCTAAGTCCGACTGTACCATCGTTACCGCTACCCGGGGGGGAGGGGGGGCTTGGCCAAGGCAACGACCGCCACCCGCCAGAGATCAACAAACAAAATCTCCACCAGACCCCAGGGTGGGTGGCGGCAACGACACAAGGCTTGACTCGGAGCAGAAAGACTTCGGGTTTCGACGGAATCGGGTCCATCCAAACCTAGGTCCGTCGGGCCTCACAGGATCCTGCAGGATCCTGCGCCCCAGCCCGGGTCAGTGCGCCCCTGGCCCTGCAGGATCCTGCAGGATCCCGCTCTCTGGCTGACCCCCGTTTGCACTGACCCCCCTCGCTTGAGCCCCCGAAGACCGTAAAAATAGGCCGCGAGCGGGGGGAGGCGAGGGAGGGAGAAGGAGGGAGGAGAAGGGAGGAGAAGGGAGGAGGAGGAGGAGGAGGAGGAGGAGGAGGAGGAGGAGGAGGACGAGGAGGAGGAGGAGGAGGAGGAGGAGGAGGGGAGGGAGGCGAGGGAGGGAGGGAGAAGGGGGAGGGAGGAATCGGCGAGCGAGGGGGGGGGGGGGGGGGCCAAGCGAGAAGGAAGGAGAAGGCCTCCTCCGAAGGCGGCGGGGCTTCTCAGTGAGGCCCTCGCGCCCTCCGAGAGAGGCTCTCCGCGCCTTCGGGCAAAGCCCTGGCGACTCCTCGGAGGGCCGCGGGGGCTTCCGGGCCTTCTGGGAAGACCCACCCCCGGGGCTGAACCCAAACGGTGTTTTTCGTTTTTTCGTTTTGCTCTCGTTCTGTCTTCCAGCCACCCGTTCTGTCTTCTTGTTTCGTTCTCCCTCGTTCTGTCTTCCAGCCACCGCTATCGCAAAACGGAGCCGAAACGAAAGCGGCCCACGAAATCGCCGAAGCACCGTTCAGGTCCGGCCCTGCCCACCCCTTCTCGCTTCCCCCCCCCCGGGCTCGCCGCCGAGCAGAGCTTTGAGCAGGGGCCGACCGTCCCGGCATTCCTATAGTCCTGCCACGAAATGTTCTCAGAATCCAAAAAAAGTTCTAAGAACAAAAACAAATGTTCTTAGAACATCAACCCGATGTGTGAAAACAAGACAGACTCCGCCAGAAATGTTCTAAGAACATTTCGTGGACACCACAAGAGGTTCTTAGAACGTTGCTTGGTAGGGCTACAGGCGAGCCAGGACGCTTCGCCACTGCTTGAGAGGGGGAGGAGGAGGAGGAGGAGGAGGAGGAGGAGGAGGAGGAGGAGGAGGATTGGGAGGAGGAGGAGGAGGAGGAGGAGGAGGAGGAGGAGAAGGAAGGAGGAGGAGGAGGAGGAAGGAGGAGGAGGAGGAGAAGGAGAAGAAGGAGGGAGGAGGAGGAGGCGGAGGAGGACGCCTCGCCACTGCTCGAAAGCTGCTCGGCGCCGCTGGCTGGCGCCCCCCGGCCACCGCCAGGGCTCGGGGGCGGGCCCGGGGTGCCCGGGGCGGGCGCCGCGGGCACGCGCGCGGGGGGGCCGCCGGCGGGCCGCGGCCTGCTCGAGGTTGGTGACCTGGCGGAGGGGCGCGGCGGCGCAGGGGCGCGGGCACGGGGAGGAGGAGGAGGAGGAGGAGGAGGGAGGAGGGAGGAGGGAGGAGGAGGAGGGAGGAGGGAGGGAGGAGGGAGAGGAGGGGAGGAGAGGAGGAGGAGGAGGAGGAGGAGGAGGAGGAGGAGGAGGAGGAGGAGGAGGAGGAGGAGGAGGAGGAGGGGGGGGCCTCCTCCCCCCGCCGCGCAGACGTCGGAGGCAGAGCGGTGGTCCGCGTGCGGTGCAGAGGCAACTTTCTGCTTGTTTTTCTCTCTCTCTCTCTCGCTCCCTCTCTTTTCTCTATCTCTCTCTCTCTCTCTCTCTTTCTCGCTCTCTCTCTCTCTCTCTCTTTCTCTCTCTCTCTCTCTCTCTCTCTCTCTCTCTCTCTCTCTATATATATATATATATATATAGAGATGTGTGTATATTAACCGACAGATAAAAACGAGAGAAAAAAAGAGTCGCTTATCGTCCCCAAACAAGGACTGCCAGGCGAACAAGCATCGCCACACGGCTGGCTCCTGGGGGGGGGCATTACGGGGATCGACATAAGACCTCGCCCTCCCTCGGTACTACCATGCGTGCAACTGTCGTCGATCTGCTGCGCCCATGGAGTGTCCGGCGAAGCGTCGTTACGGGGTCCCAAATGATACCACTCCAGCTCTGGTTACTGCCAGGCGCGCAACTGTCGCCACTCTGATGCGCCCCTCTTACGATGTCCCGAATGAGACCTGGCTATCCCTGGGCACTGCCAGGCGTGCACCTGTCACCACCCTGCTGTGCGCGTGGGGGTGTCTTATGGAGACCCTCTGCGGCCCTTCTTAGCTCCTCTTCGGCAATGACTGTGGCCGTTTGGGACAGCTTGGCGTCGCATTCTGGCTACCCTGTTATGGATAGGTGGCAAAGATCCAACGGGTTAGCCTCCCTATCGCTGATCCGCTGGTACAAGGGACCGACCGGCGATCAGAAAAAAATCGAACCACACACACACACACACACACACACTTCACGGCATACCCGAGTTTAGCTGGCGATGCAGTGGAGGAGAATGGAGCGTAGGAAGGGGTAGAGAACACACCTGCGGGACCGCACTCGGACCATCTTCGACTCGCCCTGTGAGAACCAGAACGTGCGGGTGGAGAACGCGAAGCGCCTCAATGAATCGTGTAGAATCCCTGGGGGCGATCACGGGAGGCCAACGAACGTCGCACAGCGGATGATCTATCTATGCAGAAAATGGGGCCGGCAACTCGTGGTAGAACATCTAGAACGTCGGTCAAGCTTAGCGCGATGACGGAGCTTCCTACCGACTTCGAGACTGATTCTGCAAGACGTGCCGCTTCCACAGGGAGCAACTCGTGGACCGACTGACCACATTCGGGAGCGCGGAGCGGAAGAACTGACCAGGTTTGACGGTGACTGCTACTACGAAAGGCTGGCCCTGACAAAGAAGGGAAGTCTCTGGTTACCAGACAGGTCTAACAGGGGATATGTCGACCCCTATCCCAGGCTTCGTGGGGTTTCCGAATGGACCAGAAATTTGGGGCCTAACCCTGGGATATACGATGGGGGGGTGTCCATTCTCGATAGGGTGCGTCCGAATAGCCCCCTTGGGGTGTATCCCAGGGTTTTCCCATTCTTCTGAGCGGCCAGACTTTTCGGGCGAAACTCGGGGATTGGGGGAGAAACATCGCCCGCGAAGGTCGGGGAGGAGCTCGCGCTCGACAAAGTGGATGAACAGCTCGAAGCGACGTTCCGAGTGGAGCCGCCGCGTCTGGCGTGGAGCGCCGTGGGCGCAGTGCGCAGCGGGCCGCTAATCAAGCGGACAGCGTCCCCGCCGAAGATCTTGATTGCGAGGTCGTCCATCGGCGGCGACGATAGGGGCGAACAGCCCAGGGGCGGGCACTACACGTACTCGCCCGGGAGCCTTTCCGAAGACGTAGATCACCGGCGCGCCTGAATATGGCTCACCAGAAGAGAGGGGGGAGGAAGGGGGAGCAGCAGGAGGGGGAGGAGGAGGAGCAGGAGGAGGAGGAGGAGGAGAAGCAGGACGAGGACCGTGAGGAGCAGGAGGAGCAGGAGGAGCAGGAGGAGGAGGAGGAGCAGCAGGAGGAGGAGCAGGATAAGCAGGATGAGGAGGAGGAGAAGGATGAGCAGGATGAGGAGGAGCAGGAGGAGCAGGAGGAGCAGGAGGAGCAGGACCGGATAGGATCGGAAGTCCGCGCAAGGGCCCCACTAGGGAGCTACAGCCAGGTGCGTGCAGGAGCAGTCAAGCTGCTGCAGGCCCCATCCCGTACGAGGGCGGGACGAAAAAAAAACAGCACAAGTCCACTAAACTTACCCAATCCAAACCTGTAGCAGGCTGCGAGCCCGGGAGGGAAGTGAGATGGGGCGGACCTGCTCAGAAGTCTCGGAAGTCTCCCAGCCTTCTGAATGTTGTCTGAGCCTTCCCCGAGACACAAAAAACCTGTCTAAAGGCAGGAGGACTTGTGAAAGACCCGCTGCCTTCTGAGAAGGCCTTCTCCTTCTTACTTCCCCCACCCTCGCTCGCCGCCGACAATCGAAACCCGTAAGGCCTTCTGAAGGCCCTTCGGCACAGAAAGCCGACGAGGAGAGCACGGAAGACGAGAACAGAAAAAAGACGGGAGGAACAGGAAGATCAGCCGTCGCTCGGACGTCCATTTACTTCCCGTGCATGTTTCGGTTTCGTGCGGGTTTTTTGGGGCTCGATGGCCCAGGATGGTCCTCGAGGGTCCTCGCCGAGACAAATAAGTTTGGCGGCGGGCCCAGGGGGGAAATGAGAAGGAGCAGGCCTTCTCAGAAGGCCGCGGGACTTCTTAGAAGTCCGGGGGACTTCTGAGAGGTCTCCTTAGCCTATTTCGAATACAGACTGAACTTCTCGGAAGCCCTCTCAGAAGTCCGGAAACTTCTCAGAAGCCTCGGAAGTCCCGCCCCTTCTCATTTCCCCCCCGCGCCCGCCGCCGATAAGTGCACACGTCCGAGCGATGCCAGGTCAGGAGCAGGAGCAGGACCGCCCCCCCATGTGCCCCGGCCCCGCCTGCTCGACCCCATCGAGCTGCTCGAGCGCGCTGCCGCCGTGCGCTTCGACCTCGCCTCTCCTCCCCTCCGCCTCGTGCCCCCGCCATCCCTCCTGCCCCGTCCGCGTGCTCTCCTATCGGGGAGACGTAAGACCCGGGTACGGGGGACTCGGAAATCCCCGACGAGGTCGTCAAAAAAATGACGAGGCCGAGCCTGCATTTTGACGAGGCCTCCCGCTGCAGACATCCCACAAAACTCCTCCTCGTCAAAATCCGAGTCGCGGTCGTCAAAAAACGATGGCGAACCCGAGTCCCGGCAAACCCGGGTCTTACGCTCCCCCGATCTTACCGTCGGCGATCATCAGAGCATTTGCTGGCGCCAGCGCGCGCTGATTAAGAATAGAAGGACCCCTAACCCTCTGGGAGGGGACCTGAGTTGCGAGGGCCAAAAACATCAGGAATAGGGATTTCTGACGATGTATCGAGCCAAACCGCCCAGATGTCTTATCCCTGATGCGAAGGCGGGGACCTATGTAAGTGAGGCAACGTCTTCATTGCATTATCAAGATCAGGGGTTCATTTATGCTCGGTGACTCGTCCGCCGACGCCCTTTGATACGACGCAGGCGGTGCAACGCGGGCCAGAGCGGGCTTCGGGCTGTCGGCGGAGCCGACGTGGATAAACACACGCTTGGGCTAACACACGTCCTGCGGATCATCGGTACCCAAGAGACCTTTTTTGGAATCGGCGATAACCCGGGTTATCCCGGGGGGGGGAGGAGGAGGAGGAGGGAGCAGGCCAATAACCTAACCCGCGCGCTGTGGGCAGCCCTGCATATGCCCGCGCCCCCCCTCCCGCGGACCTGCACAATCGGTAAGAATAGGCTATCCTGGGGGGGGGGCAGAGGAGGGGGGGCAAGCCCGATAACCCGGGTTATCGCCCGACCCTCAAAAAAACAGTCTCCTGACACACGTCCTGCGGATCATCGATACCCAAACCTTCCTCACTGCGCGCTCCTCCCTCCTCTCGGGCCGGGCGAAAGGGGGGGATAGCAAAGGGGGGTTTGAGAATCAGCTCACGTAACTGATTTTCCCGGCGCTGGGAGGCGCCGGGAGGCGCCCATGTATCGAGGAGTGGGCCCAGCGGCGGGGCCGAAACCAGCTGCACGCAGCAGACTCCAGAACCCCCCATTTCCCTATCCCCCCCTTGCGAGGAGGGGATTTATCCGTATCCACCGCCTGGGAACCGACGTCCTGGTGCCCCAGCGGGCGGTGGATGTGTATATATTCGGGCCCCGAGGGGCCCGAATATATCCATGTCCACCGCTTGCCGAGGTACCTGAAAATTGATCCTCCAGGCAGTGGTCATGTATAAACTCCCGCCTCGGACCCCTTTCGTTCGGGTTCGACCCGAGATACCCAAACCTTCCTCGCTGCGCGCTCCTCCTCCTCCCTCGATCCTGCCTCCCTTTTGGAGTCCCGAAACGGTGCGGTGACGGACCGTGCGGTGACCTCGAAATCCCCCAAGACCTCACCGCACGGTCCGTCACCGCACGGTCTTGGGACCTCGGAGGCCCCAAACGCCCGAGACGTCCTCGGAGGACGACCCGAGTCCCAAAACCGTGCGGTGACCCCGAATCCCCACCGACTCACCGCACGGTGTGGTCACCGCACCGTTTGGGGGCCCCCGATCCCTCCGCCAACCGCCGGGAGAGCGGCGAGGCCGGGGGGCGCAGGGCCTTGCCGTCGCGGCCCGTCACGGTGACGCCCTCCAGCATGGCGTTCATGTTGTCCTGCGGCGGAGAAGGGCAGGGAGGGGCCTTGCGCCTGGAACGCGTCGTGATCTACAGTCGGACTCGCTTTGACAGGACGCGCGAGAGGACACGAGACCCTTCCGAGGGCCGCATTGCCACAGGAATGCAGGAGGCATAGGTCGCAAGACACAGGGCACGAGGGTACCCTTGATCTGGCAGGGTCGACCTACTAATCCGGGCCGCCTGTATAGGGATACGACCGAGGGGTCGATCCTACACTGGTGTCCGTAGGTAGAGGCAAAGGAGGAAGAGGTTTAGATACTCCCTTTCCTGGGCGCTGCGCAGAGAGCAGCGCGGTACGATGTTCATGCCAATACCTGAGCCGATGCATTTAGCGGTATATGACGATATAATGGTGATAGGAGCAGACTTCACACACACACACAGGATAATGGTTTTGTTCGGATCGGCGATATACCGCGTTATCCTGGGGGCGGGGGGGGGCAGGCCGACAACCTAACCTTCGCGTTGTGGGCAGCCCTGCATGTGCCCGCGCCCATTGGCGCTGTGGCCCATACAGCTGCTAGCGATGCTGCGACGATGCTACTATTGGTGCTGCGACGATACGGGCGCCGTGTGACAATGCCTAATTGTATGTTCGGACAACGAACGTTGGGATACGCGGGATGGGATTGCTGAGAATAGCCAGAATCTTGTGCACACGATGCCTATGAACACTACAAAGGCTGAGTGCGCAGCAACGCTCTTGTACACAACAGGTGCTGCAACAGCGAGTTCTGCTTGCACCACAGCGCCAGTGTACACCCCGATGCTTGTGCACAACACAGGAGCAGCGTGCACCACAACGCATGGCGAACATTTGCGCCACAGCGCTTCCGCGCACCTGCAAGGTCCCGAGGGGACCAACATCTGGAAAATCGCATGGGGCCCCGACGTATCAAGCTCACCCAATATGTTACAGACTCTCATGGTTAACGTCGCAGAAATAATGTTTGGGAGCGATGTGGGACTACTTGGGCGCAACTGTTGCGTTGATTCGCGCTGGTAAAGTCCCAGGAACGGCGTTCTGGCACGATTCGGGACCGTCGAGACGCGAAAATGATGTTGATTCGTGGCGTTGACTTCCCAATAATGGTGTTTTGACACGCCTCGGGATGTTCAAACGGTTGTCTCCTAACGGGGCACTTCCCTGTGGAAATGAATCCTTATTAGGGGCCTGTGAAGAGGGAGCTTGGAAGGAGGGTTGATTCCAACATCGTTTATGACGCTTGGGATTACGCTGGTCTTCTTTCTCCTCCTCGTCCTCGTCCTCCTCCTCCTCCTCGCTCTTCCTCCTCCGCCCTCCCTGTCCACCTCCTTCTTCGCCTCCCCAGCCTCCTCCCCCTCCCCCCCCCCTCCTCCTCCTTTTCCTCCTCCTCCTCCTGCTCTCCCTCCTCCTCGGCCCCCCCATCGTCCTCGTCCTCCTCCTCCTCCGTACTCCCTCTCCGCCTCCTCCTCCGCCTCCTCCTCTTCGATCCTCCTCCTCCTCTTCCTCCTCTCCTCCTCCTCCCCCTCTTCCTCCTCCTCGTCCTCCTCCTCATTCTCGTCGTCCTCCTCCTCCTCCTCCTCCTCCTCCTCCTCCTCCTCCTCCTCCTCCTCCTCCTCCTCCCCCCCCGCCCCCTTACCAGAGACTATGGCAGAGCCATCAGCGCGTTGTTGTCATCGTCGTAGGCGTCGTCGTCGTCGTAATCGTCGTCGTCGTCGTCGTCGTCGTCGTCGTCGTCGTCGTCGTCGTCGTCGTCGTCGTCGTCGTCGTCGTCGTCGTCGTCGTCGTCTTCAGGGTCGGCCGCACCAGCCGTAAGGCCTGAACAATGCAGCAGGCGTGCGCGTCAAGCGCACCCAATGCTGAAATGAGGGAACGTGCAGGCACGTGCAGGCGCACGCCCACTTGGCGTCGTTCTGTTGGAACAGCCAGGCGACTTCTATAACAAGATAGCACATTTCCCCGATGGTCACGTCCTGCGCGACCTCGAGCGCGTAAGCCTGGGCGGAACACACTAGAGCCCGAGACTGCAACGGGCTGCGTGTTGCCCCACGTGCGTTCTGAGTGGATGTGTGCGGCACTTCTTTTACATTTCTCGTCCTCGCCCCCCCGCCCTCCGCGCAGCTTTCTTGCATGCGTCATTGACACATCGTGCAGGAAACGATTACTGCCTAGGCGCAGTGTTGGGCGCCCGGCTGCCCTGCCTGCCTGCCTGCACGAGCACGAGTTAGGAATCTCTGCGAGCGGGCGGTTCTGGGCGATGTGTAGGCTTAAGTCGGGCCTGCCCCCCTGCAAGGGGATTTGGGGCGAAAAAAGTACTCAACAAAAAATACGACCAAAATGCTCAAACATAGCGAAAAAATAGTCCCCGGGCTATGTTTTGACTATTTTTGAATATTCCCTGTAGAGGGACCGGCCCGCCTTAAGTGTAGGCCGCCGCGGCCGTTCCATAGCACTCCCGAACGCCTCAAAAGCGTTCTGTAGCACGCTGGAGCGATACATATTTATATATATACATATCTATATGTATATATATACATACATACATACATACATACATACATACATACATACATACATGCATACATACATACATACATACATACATACATACATACATACATATATACATACATACATACATACATACATACATACATACACATATATATATATGATCCTCTCTCTCTGC